GCGAGTACTTAAAGGAAAAATGGAAATAACAACTAGAAAGCAGTTGAAAGTCAAGCGGGAGGTTGTTGTCCGTGCCCAGCATCCTCATCATTCTCGCCCGTTCCTTCGCCTTGACGGTCGGGAGGATGGCTCGGACCAGCCCCGGTCATATCCGCCGCAGATTTAGAAAAGGTGCAGTCCATCAGGCGACTGTCATAGGTTCTCTCATCATCATTCGCGATCACAGCCGAAATCTTCATCTCCTCGGGTAGAGCCAACCGCTCGAACTTGATATCACGAATAGCCTCGAGGTCCTTCAGTGTCTTTCCTCCGTCTTTCATCGCATGGATCACCCAGTTCAGCCCGAGCACAGCGTTCAAGTCCGTGTCGGCTAGTAATTTGTCCGTCTTGTTATACTCCTCCAACCTAGCCGAACGGCCCTTCTCGAAACTGTCTTCATACGAGCCACGGGATTGCCCCGCTCCCGCCAACTTGGACTGGAGTCGCTCCTGTTCGGTCAGCGCTGTGTCCCTTTCCCGCTCGGCCGCTGCAAGTTTCCGGGCGGCCTCCTCGGCATTCAATTTCGCCGCGGCGAGCTCCCTTTCGGCCACGGCCAACTGTTTTTTGGCGCTGTCTGCCTGGTCAATCAGTCTAACCTCCTCCAATCGAACCACTTTCAGCTCGCCTTCAAGTTCGACAATCTTCATCTGCAACAGTTCGAACTTCTTGAGGTCGTCCTAGAGGGAGTGGATCTTATCCTTGCAAACGGCGTGGTCGGCCGTAATCCTCGCCAGTTCACTGCTCATCCTTTTGAAGTCGGCCAAGGCCGCCGCTTGCATGCACAAAGCGCGACCCAAGCTCCCCGCCGCATATTCCATCCTCTCGGTCAGAGTGAGCGCTTGAGCAGTTAATTCGGCCGGGAGATCCCAACTCATCAAGGGCGCCAGGGCAGCGTCCGTCACGTGCAGGGGCCAGTTCCCAACGTTCGGAAGGAGTGGGTGTGCCACTGACTTGTAACGGACGAACCAACCATCCGATACACTCTTCAGGTGATCCGCTCGGGCCGCTCGGGTGGGCTCGACCCGGAGATAAGTCTTCGACCCGTCTTGATGGATGGGAGCGTCCCTCCCCTCAAGGAAACCGCTCGGCGCAACCGGTGTGAAGGGGCCAACCGTCGAACCTTGCTCTTGGGTCCCCGATTGGACCGGATGCTTAGCCTTACGGGCCTCATCAACTTCATTAGCCCGTTTGTGGCTCGCCAAGCGACCCCTCTGTAACTGCTGATCGTCCTCCTCGCTAGAGGACTCGATAACCTCATAACCGACTTCCTGTTGGGGGCTCGGATCCTTCAATGCTGACGCCTGGGTGGCCCTCATCTTCTCAATCATTGCCAAACGGTCCATCTCGGCAGCCGATTCTGGGGATCTCGATTTTGGCTTAGAACTGGTAGCGGTCTGTTTCCCCTTCGATTTAACGGCAAGTCTCTTTGCCCCCGTGTCGGTGGCCACACCCTTCAGGTAACCCAAAGGATAAAAGGCTGCGAGAAACCGAGCAGTTAGGGAAACCGAACAATATAATCCTTCAACCGAACGGGTCGAGAAAGGGAAAATGGACAGAAGCACTTACTGGGAACGCACGAAAAGTGTGGGTCGTAGTTTCAAGTTGAGGATAATTCATGATTGTGTTTATCGTGTGTTTGGTGTGTTTATCATTTTTTCTTGGTGTACTCAGAGGCATTGGTTAAAATTAAATTAATGAGCTTGGTGTGTTGGTGGTATAGACCGAACGAGTGGTGGTAAGGGAAAAGACGAACCGGATGCATCCGGGATCGGGCCGCTGTCGAATGCATGGGAGAGAATAAGCGAGATCTGATTAATCATTGCCCAAAGCTAGCCGTACTGCGCGCATTAAATGCAAAGATATACTAAAATCTCCTATCTGACGGCGAGGGAAAAAAGGGGACGCGTGGCACGATCAGGACGGATCTCTGATGTTGGGAATAGATTGTCAAGTACAAATTAACTTTTAATACAGAATGACTAATATCTAAAAATATCTTGTAAAAGGTAATGTAAAAATCCCCAAGAGGGAAATGTAAAGGTCCCTAAACTTCCTATATAAGGGAGGGGAGGACATCATTTAATGCAATGAGTAAATGCTCTCATTAATTACTCTATAAGTCACGGATAGCCTGAGCATTCGGACCAATAAATTAGACTGAATCATATACACAAAAACTATTCGTGCAGACCGAATAGAGCATACATCTTAGTGTGCAGTTCAACCACATTGTTGGTCATTTTTAGACATCAACAATTGGCGCTAGAGGAAGGGCTATTCCAGCATGTCAAAAACAACTTCATCATCATCAAGCCAAAGTCGCCACCGAGACACGCCGGAAGAAAGCGAAGACCGGCGAAACAACCAAACTACGAGGACGGACTACTCAGCCTTTTTCAAAGACCCAAATTTTGTTAAGGGAATATCAAACTTGATAACACAGATCCGACCCTCTACGTCTCAAGCACCCAAAACCCCAGCCAGAAAAGACCTTACCAACGCTCTCAAAGGCAAGAAAATGGACGTTCACGAAGAGACCACTCGATCGCCCGGGAGCACGAAGGAAAAATCTACCACCCGGACAGAAAATTAACAGACAGACGAAAGTCGCTCGGTCACGGACACTCGAACCCGCAACACCACCCGGTCGGTTTTCAAATGGCTGGGAAAAAACGTGGCCGACGACGACTTGAGGAAAACATTGCTCAGAAAGCGAACGACTCAAGCCGAATAAGAGGAAATGAAAAGTCTCCGAAGAACAATAGCCGAACTCGAAGCTCGAAATTCGGCCCAAAAACGACTTGCCTCTACCGACAAGACCTGACAGAAGTCCCTCTCAAGCGAGCCGCGACAACCTCAAGGGCACGAACCGAGTTCAGCCCAGCCGAACCCGAATCACCCCTAACATTTGATATTTTCCTGGAACAGTTACCCGAGAAGATCATGATCCCACAAATTGGATTTTATGACGGAACATCCGACCTGGACACCCACCTAGGATTGTACACGTCATGGATGGACCTGCACGGAGCACCGGACGCCCTCCGCTGCCGGATGACACTGGGAGAAAAGGTGCAAAGATGGTACCATTCGCTCGCCCCATGTTCGGTCGCTAGGTGGCCACAATTAAAGTCAATGTTCCGAACACACTTTATCGGATCCCAGGCATGCCGAATTCCCAAGGAATCGATCACTCATATTATCCAAGGAGCGGACAAAAATTTGAAGGATTATATTACTCGTTTTAACGAACGGGTACAAAACATGGAACCGTGCCATCAAGAGACCCTGCTCGTTTCAGCATATTCAGGGTTGAGACCAAATTCGATGTTCAAATGGACCCTTTGCCAAAACAAACTCCAGACGTACCACGAATTCTTGATGAAAGCTCAACAGCATATCATGGCAGAAGAAAACATGTCCGTCCCGTCATTTCCATCCTTGAACGAACCACCTACTAAAGCGAAGGAATCCCGACCGAATAAGGAGTTCACGAAGGACGGAAGGAGTGCCCAATTCCGAGCCATGCAGAGGAAACATCACGAGGAACTCACGAACAGCTACCAGGGAGTGTATTCGGTCGGTGCGGCCGTGGTGTACGAAGAGCTGAAAAACAAGGGGATCATCCCAGACCCTAAACCGATCAGGGCCGACGAAGAGAATTTAGACAGAAGCCGATATTGCGCTTACCACAAATCGCACGGCCACAATACTGACCAGTGTCGGAATTTGATATCTGCCCTGTTAAAACTAATTGATGATCCGCAGGTAAGGAGGTTCACTAGGATGGACGGAGGCAACCGGAGGCCAAGAAACGACGACCGAATGAACCCAGGAGACGAGCTCGACTTTGGAGCGAATCCTCGGAGAACGAACGAACATCCCAATGAAATATTGACGATCAGTCAGGAGCAGCGAGGTGAGACAAGCGCATCCGGGGGAGAAAAAGGACAGCATCCGGGCGAGACGAGGAGCATTCGATTCACATCCCAATCCGAAGAAGCGGACTGCCCACGAGGTCAATACGAGCCGAGAAAGTACAAGCGTGTCTAGAAGGCAGGTCAAGGCATACGTCCGAAAGCCATACAGCACAGGACACCAAGTCAGCCGAGCGGAGGTCAACCGGCACGTGCCCATGCCCACGAACTTGATAATGTTTTCGGATGAAGATTCTCTCCCATTCGATAATCCACACTCCGACGTGCTCGTAATCACAGCCCCCATCTTCCGAATCCCAGTTCACCGAATCATGGTGGACACTGGGGCGTATTCAAGTATTTTGTATTGGACCGCATTTCTTAAAATGGGGATAGATCGAAGCGAACTACGTCCATGCAACGACCGCATAACAGGGTTCAACGGACAAGTAACCATTCCGGAAGGAGAAATCACATTACCAATCGAGCTCGGAGGATCAGGAGCGAATGGACGCAGGATCATGGAGACCTTCAAAGTGGTGAAAACGCCCAGCGAGTATAACGCCATCCTTGGACGGACAGCCCTATACAAACTGAAGGCAGCCGTATCAATCTTCCACTATTCGATCAAGTTCCCAACTGAGAACGGTACAGGAGTCCACTACGGTAACCAAAGGGAAGCAAGAGATTGCATCATGGCGATCCCGTCATTAGAGATACACTCGGTCATGATGACGAACGAAGAAGAGAAACCAATCACCGAACCAATTGGAGAGCCGGAACAGTCAGACGAGCAAGACGAAAAAGTCCCGCCCGAACAGCCAGACGACAGTGCAGCCAAAGGACACACAAATGAAAGAAAGAGGATGAGGGAAGAGCCGATCAAGGGCCCAGAAGAGGTAGACGAGTACCCCTTGCCGATGTTATCAGACGGAAACACACCCTCACCCCTGAGAGACGAACAGGTTGAGAAAGCTGTGAAAGAATTGGAGGCTAATCACTTCGACCCGGATGAAGAACGAAATCAGAAGTCCACCCAGGAGGAGGACAATCCGTTCGATGAGAAGGACCGAACGGCAGACCGGGGGCAACGACCAGGGAAGGAACCAATTGAAGAAAAAGATGAGTTGGACCCCCGAGATCAATTCAAAGGAAGGAAATCCGAACGGGCCGAACCAAGCGAAGACACGGAGGTGATCTATCTTGATAAACCGGCCTGCACCAAGTCATTGCGCATCGGACGAAACATAGGTGAGCCCATCCGGTCCAGGTTAATTGCCTTTCTGATCGAAAACGCAGATGTCTTCGCCTGGACGCGTGAAGATATGATGGGGATCAATCCAAACTTAGCGTGCCATAGCCTTCGGGTTGACCGAACGATGAAACCAATCGTGCAGAAAAGGAAGAAGCTGGGACCGGAGCGACAAGAAGCACTCGAGGGAGAGGTGATAAAGCTGATTGACAACTGCTTCGTACACGAAGCTAAGTACCCGGTCTGGGTATCCAATCCGGTTCTGGTAAAGAAGAACAGCGGGACATGGCGATTATGCGTCGACTTCAGCAATCTCAACCGGGCCTGTCCCAAAGACAGTTATCCGTTGCCCAGCATCGATTACATGGTGGATGCGACGTCCGGACACGAACTCATAAGCTTCATGGACGCCTATTCGGGATACCACCAGATCCCAATGGACCCGAACGATGAGGAGCACACATCTTTCTACTCGGCCAGAGGACTCTACTGCTACACCATGATGCCATTCGGTCACAAAAACGCCAGCGCAACCTGCCAGAGACTCGTGAATAAGATGTTTGCAAATCAGATCGGACGAACCATGGAGGTTTACGTGGATGATATGCTTGTTAAATCTGTTTCTGCGAACGATCATGTAGCCCATCTTAATGAAATGTTTTCTATTTTGCGCGATTATTCCATGGTGTTAAATCCCAAAAAATATACGTTTGGGGTAGGATCGGGTGAGTTCTTAGGGTACATTGTTAGTCAGAGGGGAATCGAAGCAAACCCCGACAAGATTAAAGCGATACTCGAACTAAAACCCCCTAGGTCAATTAAGGAAACGCAAAGTCTAACGGGTAGATTAGCAGCTTTAAACCGATTCATATCAAAGTCCACGGACAAATGTAAGCCCTTCTTCGAGGCTATTAAAAAGAATAATAAATTTGAATGGACGGACGAATGCCAACACGCGCTGGACTACATCAAGGAGTCACTCGTTCGACCCCCCGTCCTCCAAAAGCCGACCCTGGGAGAGATGCTATATCTATACCTCGGAGTAACCGCGACCGCGATAGGCGCCGTACTTGTTCGGGAGGAGAATTTGAACCAACATCCGATCTATTACACAAGCAAGGCATTACATGAAGCCGAGGTCCGTTACCCGCAAATCGATAAGTTAATCTTCGCTCTGGTGACGGCTTAAAGAAAACTCAGGCTATATTTCCTTGAACACCGGGTGACCGTCTTGTCAGCCTGTCCTATTCGGCAAGTTCTCCACAAGCCAGATACGTCGGGACGAATGATCAAGTGGGTCGTTGAGCTTGGGCAGTTCGATCTACAATATAAACCACGGACGGCGATAAAGGGACAAGCGTTGTCCGACTTCGTAGCCGAGTTCACAACGGGCGCCGGACCAGTCCAAACTATAGAGACTTGGGAGATGTACATAGACAGATCGGCCACAACCGAAGGGTCCGGGGGAGGAGTTGTGAACGTCAGCCCTCAAAGAAAGTTGTATTGCCATTCGGTCCGGTACCTGTTTGCCGCGACCAACAACGAATCTGAATACGAGGCACTGTTATCCGGCCTGGACTTGGCCCATTCGATGAACATCACAAATTTAAAAGTGCATTCGGACTTAATGTTGTTAGTGAAGCAAATCTCAGGGGAGTTCGAGACGAAGGAAGCCCGCCTGGTACCATACTTACACCTAGCTCGAAAGAAGATAGCGCGAGCGAACATTCAGCTCGTGCAAATTCCCCGGTCAGAGAATTCTCAGGCGGACGCGCTGGCACGATTGGCATCTAGCCGAGGAACTGACGAAATCCAGTACGTTTACACACGCCATCAAGAGAAACTGGCCATTCAGGTCGAGCAGATCATGAGGATTGAAGAATCGGCTGCTACCAAAACTCCCGGATGGATGGACCCGATCCGGTCATATTTGGAGAAGGGAGAACTTCCCGCTGATCTCAAAGAAGCCCGGTCATTAAGGATCCGAGCGGCAAGGTACATGATCATAGCAGGAACGTTATACAAGAGGGGCTATTCGAATCCATTGCTCAAATGTGTGGACGACTAAGAGGCCGAGCGAGTCATGAGAGAAGTACACGAGGGAGTATGTGGGAACCATTCGGGGGGACGAGCGTTGGCACACAAAATACTGCGACAGGGGTACTACTGGCCCACGCTGAAAAAAGACACGTTTAACCTAGTCAGAAGGTGTATCAAATGCCAAACGTTCGCCCCTAACCTAAAGCAACCGGCTCATCCGCTCACCTCAGTTTTCAGTCCCTGGCCGTTCGCCAAGTGGGGGATCGATTTAATCGGACCCTTACCAACAGGCAGGGGAGGAGTCAAATACGCGGTCGTAGTGGTCGACTACTTTACTAAATGGGCGGAAGCCGAGCCTTTGGCTACGATAACCGAGCAGAAGATGGTCGATTTTTTGTGGAAATCAATCGTTTGCCATTTCGGTATTCCCCATTCTGTGGTAACCGATAACGGACGGCAGTTCGAGGGAAAGAGATTCGGCACGTTTTGTGAAGAGCTGGGGATTCGACATCATTTCTCTACCCCTTACCACCCGCAGTCAAATGGGCAAGTAGAGGCCATCAACAAAATTATTAAACAAGGTTTGAAGGTACGACTGGAAAGCTCAAAAGGGGCCTGGGCAGAGGAGCTCCCGAGCGTCTTGTAGTCGTATCGGACCACGTCAAGATCGGCGACTGGAGAAACGCCGTTCTCGTTAGCATATGGGGCGGAGGCAATGGTTCCGGTCAAAATCGGATCAGAAACATATCGAGTAAAGAATTTTGAAGAGGATGCGAATAGAGAGGGATTGCGAACAGGGTTGGACTTAATAGAAGAAGCACGGACGCAAGCTGAACTAAAGAACGCAGCATACAAACGGGTGACCGAAAGACACTTTAACACGAGAGTCAACTCTCGTCTCTACCAAACAGGAGAACTCGTTTTGAAGAGAGTGACGGGGCCGGATCTGGGCCCCCTGAAACCAAAATGGGAAGGACCGTATCAAGTTGACGTCGTACTTAAGAATGGGGCCTACCGGTTGAAGTACTTAGATGGAACCCCAATGATGTATCCCTGGAATGCCATGTATTTGAAAAAGTATTATCAGTAAAAGCGTTCTAGTTCGATCAAAAATAAAATGACCCCAAGTAGGGTAATAACCGGACCACTTAAGGTTGCCCGGTATCGGACCACTTAAGGTCGTCCGATCAAAAATAAAATGACCCCAAGTAGGG